CGTTCCAGTGAACATATTTGGATCGGTGCCCTCCGACATGCTCACGAAAGGAAAAATTATTAATGGGCTCGAAAGTGCGAAGATACGTTAACAATCTCCTAAATTTGGCTTTTATGGCCTTTCAGTTTAGTTAGTGATTTAATTTAGGTAGCTGTTGAAACAATGTTCCTGATTTATTTTGATTTTTTCTACCAAAAAGGATTGCATATACTTCAGAAGGTTGATAGATGAAACATACATAAAATATAATACATACATATAATAAATTGATATAAAATTAATTAAATTGAAATAAAATATAATATTAACAAAGTAATTATGCAAACATGGAAAAAAAAACAATTTGTTTTGCATGTTGTATAACGAGTAATATGTTGGTAGTAAAACCAGAGCATAAAGAATATATATTCTTTATATTTATGCATTGTGTATATTTTCCTGGCTGTATTGCAACTTAATTCAAAATAAATTCCTAGGTTCCAGTCAATTTTATTGTTTACCATTTGAAATGTCTCAAAAACGTTTCGGTGTTTTTCTCCACCATTTTCAGCTTGTATGTATGGTTGTTTCTACCTTCACATTTGGCAAGCCACTTCATATTTATATTTGTATATATACTTTATAGTTATATGTATACATTCTTTATACTATATATATATTCTTTACATAATATAATCTTTATGCTGTGGTAAAACTAGCTGATCCTTCTTTTGCATTTACAAAATATTTACGGGATATTGTTAAAACTCGCCATTGTGAATTTCGAAAATTCTGCGGTACATTCATAACTTGACGATTTACCACAAAGAACAAAATGAATGTAATTCGTTCACAGCAAATTTGCCGTAAAAACACCAACTTGATCAATAATCGATTGATTGTTAAAAAATATAAGAGTTTTCAATTAACCTGGATTATTTCACAACTTTAAAATTAAGCGATATTAATAGAAAACGTATAATATTAAAACTACCAAAGAGTTCACGTGCTTAACCACCAACTATCGAGAGAAATTGTCCTACTTCCTTAATGATTGATTTATTTTTTAATGTATAGAAATAACTATTAATTAAACTCTTTGCTTTAGAAAAAAAGTTCGAAAATGGTAGAACTGACAATTCAACAACAAAAAACAAGAAAATAATCGATTGATTCAATATAAAATTGCTAGAGTGCTGAATAATTCAGTTGGATGCCTCTAGCACAGGAATAAACTGAAAGAAAAAGTTTGTGGCTAAAGGAGCACGGTAGCACAGAATAGTAGGACCGAATAGCAAATCTTGCTAAACGAAATAAGTTAAAACCATTACGAGGGAGAGAATAAAGCAAGAAAAAAATAACAAATAAAACTTTAGAATTTGGTTTTGTTTGTTAATTATGTTCTTTAAATTACTATTAAATAATCATATTGTTTTTGTTCATAAGTCTGTAAACCGGCAATAGAAAATTCAACTAATTACTAAGCAACAAATCAAACACAAAAATAAAAAAAACAGTATGTTTCTGAAAGGTAAAATTAGGAACAACAATAAATACATAATCTCAAAAACAATTTAATGAAAATCCGAATGTTTAAACAGTAACGATTGAATACGATGTATTAAGCGATTTTACAAATAGTTCATGTGTAAAAGATTAATCGGATGCTGGCTTGAACAGAACCGAAATATACATAATAACGCGTTGATTTGACCATTAGTCAATATTCAGAGATTGACAATATGAATATATGTATTAAAAACGAACATCCGTAATTCTAAAAACAATTCTCTTAAATCCGTACAATCTTGACAAATAACTTCGCTCAGAAAATATGCATCATTCATTTGCAAAGCCAAAAATAAACTTCTTCAACTATATTCTAATTAAAATGGCTGAGAAATTTCCTTTGAAACTATCTGGTAGATTGATGTCTTTTAATAAGGGAGATTCAGGAATGGCGCTTAGACATTCTCCAAGAGACGTTTAATTAAGGAGGTGGATTCTACATAACTTGTTAGATATTTTATTAGAACTTATTAACCAGAATCAATATTAGTATTTGTAAAATATATTTAGTTTGATGCTCCTTCATTAATGGGGTCTTGGATCAAACTGGTTCAAATACAGCTTCTTTTAGGAAATCCAGATGCATTGAATTTCATCAACTGCTAAGTAGAATTCAACTTAAAATTAAATATCTACCAATCCCAAATGAAGGGTTTTGTATCTGTAATAGCTGGTAATAATTATAATGGTGGCTGCTAAAAGAACACAATTTCCGAAAGAATTAGCAATTTGTAGCTGAATTGAACACTTAATTTCCAGCTTTCTTTCCAAAACTACTTTGCCTTACTTGGTTCTATACCACTTACTTATCATGCAGATTGTATTTTCAACTAACTGACTCTCACAGTTGAACTGTGCGATACAATGGGGCTAAAGTTAATAAGATATCTGTTACTGAACTAAGTGCAACGAAGTTAGGCAAATTGGTTAGACATTGCAATTCTAAGTGATTTATTAGTTGGTTAAAATATTTTCATTTCACGTTCCTGAAATACGAGCGGAAATAGAACTTAATGGCTTATACTGGCAAATGTATATTATTGAAAGTAAAATATTTCTGTTTAAAATAGGTAAATTGGTTGATCCATCTGAGTATATAACTAGTATGATTTGATTCAATTAACATAATACATCATTAATGTAGCTCCAAACCCAAAAAAAACTGAACAAATTGTCATCTTTTTTCACATTGCTTTTGCAATTTAAATCAATCAACGTAAACTACCCTGGTACCAAAAAGTAAACATTTCACTTTTTCGTTGCCTCTCAAAAGCATTATTTGGTTGAAATTTTATATAACGGTGAAATATTAACTGAATGCGTTCTTCTAGAGTGCAGACGAGCGCAAAAAACTATTATTCATCAAGCATATTACTTTAATTTAACATATATACTTCTTTATTCTAACATGCCGTTTTCAATGTGTCGGAAAATAGACATTGTTAGCTCTAGAAAATTTAGAACAGTTCTTCTAACGAATCCAATTATTTTTATAAGCATATTTTGGCAGCTTTGTTTAACAATTACAACAAGGTAAGGTCTTTCGTTGGCTTGCTAAATAACATTCAGTTTGATTCAGTTAAACCTGTAATTATTAGTATATTTTACAGGTGTATAATGAACGGAGACTTAAAAATTGCGATAAATTAAGCACGCAGTGCCACAAGTTAAATCAATTATTCTGAATAATTTTTGGACAATTAATTGATCTGGTAATTTTGGTGCATAATTCAACAGTAAGAATATCAGTGAGTAAACTATCAAACTAATATATTTTAACGAGACAGAAAAAAAGACCTAATTAAAGCTAAGTATCAAATTTGGCACAAGAAAACCGGCCTTTTGAAGAGAATCACAGAACAGGAATTATTAAGAACAGCCACAAAGGCATTAAGTACAGGAACGAATATATCAAAAACCGAAAAATTTGTACAAGACAAATAATTATTGGCCTAAAGATTAAGAAGTGCTATTGAGCAGACTCAAGGGAATCGGCTCGAAATTAGAAAAATTATTTACATGTACTAACCAAGATTACCAATGAGAATCGAGAAAGTTGAAAAAAAATCTTCATTGAGTGAAAGCTATGATGCTTCTAAGTTACAGAGTGACAAGAATTTGGCTTTGATAAAATTTCAACAAGTCATCAGTCTGAGCCGATTCTGAAGATGGAAGATTTTGATGATTAGAGCGAGGATAATGCCGTTGCTTAATGCGAAAATAGCAAGATTCCACTTTTCGACAGTGATACTGTTGCGATTTACTAGAAATGGGTAATAATTGGAAAATAGAAATCAAAATCTAGGAGAAAGGCGGGAAAAGCCGATGGGGAGGAGCGGAGAAATGCGGGAATGATAAATTTCAGGCAATTGAGAACAAAAAATTTGCCAAAACGTTAACAATTTGCTATTATTCCAGATATTCAGAAACCAAAATTTGAAAGGACATCCGAAAAATAAAGATGAATCACTCTACTGCAAAGTATTTAACAGCGATTTCGCAGTTAGAAAATTTCGCACAATTTTGCCCAAGAACGCAATTTCTAATAAGAAGCTACAGTTTTTGAAACAAAATATTTCACATTTTATTTCCTTATGACAAAACTGTATTAAAACACTGCATTGCAAGAGAAAAACTACATTCTAAATTCCCCCAATTATAATTTTTTTAAACTCAAGGTGCGGTTTTCAAGAATTAGAATAGATGAATTACTTATTAAACCTGAAAAAGGTAAAACCTGAAAAATTTTAAGGTTTCACTTACCGCGTATTCTCCGATTCCCGCTTACATATGCTAGATTTTCAAAAATAAGTAGAATTTAACTAAGTACGTAAAACAGGGAAAACAATAAACTGGTACCCGTGTAACAAAAAATTATTAATCTTACTTTAAAATGTTCATCAATCACTCAAAAAACTTTATTAAAATCCAGCTCCCGACCAACTAATTCAGGGATTTACGGAGCTGACAATGTCGGTTAAATCAGCTGTTCTTAACCTTCGACTCCTATTTCGTTGAAAAGATTTTTTCGTGTCAAGTAGCTCTTCTCCGGACACCTTATCCGCATGAGACCACTCGACCTTAAAGCTGCCTTTTGAATGAATATCAAGGAGTTGCTGAGAAATCTTATCGTTTAAACGAGCAAGCTTTCAATTTTCCTCAGAATTTGTTCATTTTTTCTACATTCGGACAGGTTTTCGATAAGTAAACTTATAAAAGAAAATGACGAATCTACTTCAATATTAAACCAAATTAAATTAAAAATTGTGTTTGTGATAATGCGAAATGGACCCGTAGTTTTGATGGCTTTCGTACTTTTTTTATTGATTAACTTTTTACTACTAATTTCTTGATTAACTGTGTTTAAATTTCTTAAATTAGGTTGATCCCTTTATATGCTTGCTATTTGGAAAACAAATGCCCTGAAGAGTAAGTTTGCAATAAATAGGAAACAGATTTTAAAATATATTTAAATTTTACGCTAATAAAAATATAAAATAAAACAATGCACACACACCACCAGATGATTTAGCACAACTAAGTCTTTGTTTTATGTACCTCCTTCCTCTCTTCGGTATTAAGCCAAGATACTCTATCTGTAATAGCGACATTTATTAAAAAATAAAACAAATAAAAAATACTTTCTGAAGGAACAAAATTCTCAACCGTGACTGATTATCCAGATTGGCCGCATTAGATAAAAAGTGTTTTATTTTATTAACGAACTGGAAGTAGTGACAAATTTAGTTCAGTTTACCTGTCCATTCAAAAACTCCATCGTCTGGATAGCCCTTTTTCATGTACAATTCTCTGAACATTTTCCTTAGAAAATCGTAGTCTGGTGTTTCGAAAAAGTCCAAATTTCTCACATATTTCATATACGTAGCTACTTCGTCTGGTTGACCTGTTCAAAAGTTGTTTGATTCTCTTGCGGTGAAGCAGTAAAATAAGGCTTGCCTTCGCAAAGAGATTCAATAGAGGTGTTTCTTTTGGTATCCCCAATTTTTTGATACCTCTCCTTTAGAGTGTCAGCCTTTAAGCCTTGCCAGGGCAGAGAACCCCTCAAGAAGTACAAAAACATGTGTCCCATTGCTTCCAAGTCATCCCGCCTCGACTGTTCTCTTCCAAGATGAGTGTTAATGCTCATGTATCTGGCGGTTCCCGTTAGGGACTTATGTTCCCTAAAATCAGTTTTCAGAAAAAATGTTAGTTAAACTGGTAAAATATGCGCACTTATATGGAATATGTTTTCCAGTTTCAGGGTCGATGTACTCCTTTGCCAATCCGAAATCGATTATATGAATGATTTTCTCTTTCTTTGACTTTGACCTTCCGATTAGGAAGTTTTCCGGCTTGATATCCCGGTAGATCAGTCTTTTGGAATGGACATACTCAATTCGACTGATAAGCTGATCGGCAATCATTAGTACGGTTTTGAGTCGAAATTTTCTGCTACACAAGGTGAACAAGTCTTCCAAACTGGGACCAAGCAGTTCCATTACCATGGCATTGTATCTTCCTCCACAAGTTCCTAAGTGATAGACTTTTGGTACACCTAAAAATATTCTTAGTTAGTCAGAATATTTATGGTCCGTATAATTGATGGTTTCAATTCAATTTCACAAGTGTGTTTCGGTATGCTATGGTAATAATTAAACTAATTTTTTGCAAAATTGTTGTCAAGCAAAGATATATTATATATAGATATAGAAGCAAGAAAATATTCCCCGCATTTGTTTGTGAAAGGAGTTCTCATTGAATGTTCAGTGCTTTGTTGTAATTTATGCTCAAATTAGTTCAAACGACGATTCTAGTTTGGTTCGATTTTTTTAATATCCTCTTCTCATTAGAGCCGCAAGGCGACACAAAGATATAATAAAAATGATAGAAATGCACACAATTAAAAAAGACGATTTAATCTTAAAAGAAACAATCCACATGTTACTGTTGCAAATTGTTTTTCATGTAACTCCTTAAGTAGAAGGCCGGATAAGACCCATATATTTACATATTAATAACCGGCATTCGTTCTGTGATATTTAATCCTGTAAAGGTGTTTCTTGAATTCCTCCATCTTGAGAGGAATGTTCTTTGCATGTGAGTGCGATCTGATTATATTCTTATGTTAAAACTATTTCTTCATTACTTATTATTTATTCGCTTTAGTTTCAAGCATGAACTAATTTTCTTAGTAAATTTCCACAATCGTGCTTCCAGCTTAGTCGACTTGTTAACTATTATCCAATGAAATTATAAAATTATTATAAAGTTTGGGCCATGATATAATTATATATGGAGTGATTCCAAATTTGGAATAATTCGTTATTGGATCACACCCAATAGAAGCTAAGGATGTGTTTAAGGTGTACGCAAAAAACGTAATTTTGACTAGAAGCTGCGATTTGACTAAAAACACAATAAAATGGCAGAAGTATTTCGGATCACACGGGTCTTTACAGATCAAATGAAAAACGATAGGGATGACACACGAAACATATTTAGAAAACAAATTCAGTTCAGATCTTTTGTGAAATAATTCTGCCAATTCATCTCTCGTAACTGATTGCAAAATTCTAATAGTTGCATGGTAAATGCCTCTGTAAACTAAAATTTTTATAAAGCTGTAAAAGTTGTGACAGTATAATTTAAAATACGTTTTTTCGTGTGTGATAGGTCATTCTATATTAACCCGTTGGCGTCTTTCCTTACATTGTGAGGATTAATGTGAAAAGACAAACGCTAGTTTAAGGTCGGTTACAAGTGGAATTTGTAGAGCAAGTGGCACATTTGTTCAACTGATCTATAGGATTTTGAAAACACATTTGCAGATTTTTTGTACCCGCGAAATTGCCAAGGCGCAAATTCTCTATTACCTTCAGCTTGGCCGAGCATTTTATAAAAACGATACTCTAAATGGAGCTGTGGAGCTTTGCTCTTCAACGGTTCCAGTTTAATGCCCACATGTTCGTTGTTGTAGAGATTTTTGCCCAATCTCAACTCTCCAAAGTTTCCATTACCGATTTTCTTCCCGACTCTGAAATTAGGGCCTACCATTAACACTCCGGACGAAGAGGAAGCGTGAGTAGAGTTCATGTTATATGCAGGTATATTTTTTGATTCTAAAACATTTCACTAAAATTACCGATAGGAATCCAAAGTGCCAGCTGGCACTCTTGGTGAGGCTTGCCGAAGAAACAATAACTTCATCATTTTGATGCGAAAGGTTAAAGTGAGAACAATTAGTTCTCTTCTAAAAATTAAGAATAATTTAATTGTTTTGTCCCATTTTTTTTATCCAATGAGTTCGCACTCATGGTTTCTTTTTTATAAATTATTACCGTTCTATGGATAGTCATCAGATTGTGCATGTTGTTCCTCAAATTCATAACTGTAAAATCCGTCAACCCTCTTCAACCACATTATTTCAGACCGGATTTACAACCCTGCAAAAATATATGCACATTTAGATTTCGGACGTTGTGCTGAAAAATTTGCAAATACCGCACAATGATTTTTTTGTGACAAAATTGCAACAAAACTGTCTGCTTTACAGTTTTCCATCTAGTTCCACCATGGAAGGTACACATATTTTTAGCAGGTTGTAGATCCAGTTCTGATATTTTCTTGTAGTTTCATTGGAAGATATAAAATGACTTGATAATCAAAATTTGATGGTTTCATGTTTCAAAACTAAACCGTTGACTCTCTTTCATATTCACAAATAGTTTCGAAAATATTTTGGTTAACATGTACTGTACCTTGAACAATGGGAAGATGTCTCAATTCTTTCACAACTTTGCTGTCTCTCTCAGAATTATCGTTCGTATTACCACTGTTATTTTTACTTCCAAATTTCAGTTTAAGGAAATGCATTGTTTTCAATCATTGATCGTAATAGAGGACAGTCCTGAAAGCATTTTTCTCAGTAGCGAAATCACCTGTTGCATCAAGTACTCACCCCTCAGGACTGCCCTTCATAGACTGAAGGGTGAAATGACCGACGTAGCTTAAATTAAACAAAATTTTGAATAAAGTCCACAATTTGTCATGGTTAATGTTTGAGGTTGAATGTTTTGACAACATACCTGGAAGGTTTTGGAACGATTATACGGGTACCTTCAGTACGATAATGGAATTTACCAATTAATCTCCAAACTGTAATTATTGTTGCGTTATTAATCACGTAGTAGTGATACAGTTGAAGCTTTCATGTAATTTTCTTTGATATGAACAGACAATTTGTTACTATTCAGTCAATTTCGCCACTAACATAATTTTTCTAAACACACTTGCATCCCTGAAGATCAAATTTATTTCGTTGCCTTGATCATGCCAGAATTTCATTTTTACTATTGCGCTTTTTAACTCGATAAAACTCTCGACGTTTCACTGGAAAATAGAACTGGTGAATACGTAACTGCAGTAGATTAAACCGGGAAGAAAACTCGTACTTTAACCTGGAAAACACATACACGGATAAGAAAAGAGCGGAATAATCCATTTCCAAGTAGGTAGTTCAATTCACTTAATGGCGTTGCATTCATTTCTCAAACTCCCGATTGTTTTAATAAGTGAATTAAAGTGGCTAGAGCGAGACGTTTGAATAATTCCTTCTAATTTACCAAAGTTGCTAGGTTTTGTCGGCAGAATCCAAGCACAGGTGGAAATGCAAGCCTAATAAAATAATTGTGCATTTATTTAGTGCAAGCACTCTTCATTACGCTAAAAGCTGCCACGTAATTTAGGCGAACGTAACAGCTTAAACCTTTTTACAAGAAAACTTGCACGGCGTGTTGTGAAAAATGCAAATGAAAACCTTCAAGGAAAATATATCATATAGCAGGCTGTTTTCGTCGTCGGTTTTCTGGCTTTTCTGGGTCCAACAGCCAATTTTGTTCATTGTTTCGGCTCGAGTAAAACAGACGGAAAAGTTATATTTCTGTATTTATTTGCCTTTAAATAATTCAGATATTACTGCGGTCCAGACCCAAACTGAATTTACTTCAAGGTTCAGAGCCACTTCTCAAATGTCCATATTAATTGGACACTAATTAATAATCAATATATTCATGGGCTTTAGAACGACTTCAGATCGGCGCTCTCACAAACGGAATGCCTGTTTGCATAGCCCAAATTATTTCGCATTTTTCGCATCAAGCTTTCAATAATTGAAAATTTTATCTCAGTGAGTTTACAGATATGATTTTATTATCCTATGTCAAGTTCAGTGTATTTTGCTCAAATTATTTCTACACAAATTTTCTAAATTCGTACAACGTGTTCGTCTATTCCATTTAGTAAGTTAGCGGTGCCTCAATTAAATTGGCACTATGTAAAATCAAATGGAAGCGTACGATTTTCCTCCAGCCAGGAAAACCAGACTAATAGATCTTATTCGCCGGTTCGGAAAATAAACGGTCTTTGATGTTCCCAGATTCATTTGTATGCAAAAGTGATTCAGATTAAAGACGATGCAATTTGGAGAAGAACCTCTTGATGGATGCATCTATTACGAGTGCATATTTGCTTCAAAATTACCAGTAATGCACCAGACAGGAAACAATTTCGTTTTGGCTTCCTAAATTTCTTAAATTGGAGTATTTTTCAACGAAAAAACCGAACTCAATATTTAAAAAATATAGTTTGAGGTTTAACAAGTTATCTGGGCGGTGTTGCTGATTGCTTAATTGAAATTTTGTTGAAGTTGTAATCCAGATTTTGAATACGGGGTGATTCGAAATTGGCATACTTTCTCTGACTTGTTGGTGTTGCTAGAACGTCAGCAAAAATGCAAAAAACAATCATTTTCACAAATAAATGAATCATTTGAGAAACACGAACTAATCAATTCATGCAATAATCGAGAAGATGGCGTCTCCAAATGGTGATTTTCTAATAAAGGTTCAGTAAATATTTGCTGCTTTGTTTGTAAATGAAGAAAGTAATATAAAATGCAAACATAAATACAGGCATCATTCGATTAATGGAACTATAAAGCCTTCGTTGATTGAAAGCCATTTGAGAAAAAATCAGAGTTCCGAAACGTTGTGTTGCAATTGAAATTGTCTCAAAATGTTATAATTGCCTGCAAATCAATCCGTTCTCTTATTACGTAAGTTTTACGTGAAACTGCCAAATTTATTAGAGCATTCTTCAACTTAAACTGTTAACCTCACCTCGCTACATCAGTTTTTATTGTTTAGACGATTGCGTTGGTCTTATGTCTCAGGGTGATTTTAAAAGTTTCCTATGGAAAACAGTTGATAAAACGATTGACAACTTGTATTTCTTCAATATCTTTCTTAATATGCATTTTCTTCCAAATTGGGCGGCCAAGAAAAATTCAATGAAATATGTTCAAATGGTTTTCTATAGTTTTCTTCAAATCTTCATTTTCAGTCCAATATTATTTAATCTGCTTGATCAGAAATTCATGTGTTTCGCATTAAAGTACCAAGAGACCAACGTTTATTTGGATAATATTGTCCCAAAAAATGCAATTTTGAAACAAGTTTCTAAATGTTTTAAAAATTTAAATTGAGGTCCACATTTGAAGAACTTTATTGCATACAGAAGGTCAGTTCGATTAGCTATTCCATGAACTGAATAAGTAGCCAGTTGCGGGCGGTTATCAGATTTAATCCGAAATTAAACCAACGGATGGTCCTTTGAATTTCAACTCGCCTCCTACTCGGTACTTATGAGAATTGTCCACAGTAATTTTTAAAATTATGAATTTGCTTGTAATAGACAGTATACCGTGGACTCCGCGCGTTTCTGATGTTCTATATTAGACCTATATAGATTCTCTACAAGGAAGGTAAGCTTCATGTATGTTTGACACTGTTATACTTTTGAAGTTTTGATGAACATAACTGAAAAACTAACCACAAATGCTCTGTAACGCTGAAGTGTATGCGAATGTGTTTGCCAATGTTTTATGTAGCATTTATACTTTTTTTACAACTGTAAATTTTCCTTATATTTGACAACGTTTAGGTATTCTTTTTCAAAATGAATATGTGCACTAATATTTCGCCAAATAATCATGAAACTGCTTCGAAATATTGCAGTATAGCAAAATGCATCTTTAGGAGCCAATATGTTATTGCTTCAAGGGAAGAGCACAAGAGACTACAGAAGCTCAAGAAAATTTATATTTTCAGTATTTTAATAAAGTGTGTATCGTGTATCCACAAATTATGCGAGCAGTAGAACTTACTTATGTTATAATACAATTTGTAACTTATCTAATCAACAAACACTTTCGAGAAAATCAAATGAATTTTAAAAAGTCAATAATTTGATGTTTGGCCTTGCTTTTTTATCAGTTAAACTCGATAAAACTAATTTGGTGCTTTACATTCAAATTAGAGGAAAACGTTTGCGAAAACCTACTGAAACCGTCGTACATTTCTTGTGCGTTCTAGGCATTTTCAAGCCCTCTCCGAGGAGTTTTAATTGCAACAAGTCACGGTTTTATACAGTAAAAGATTTAGAACAAACTTTCTGGATAAGGAATCCCCTTGTTTATTGTGACAGTGGAGGAAGTTCCTATTATCCAGATCTTTGCCTATTAAATTTCCATATCAATAAAGGATATGCATATATTTGAGTAGATTATTAAGCCATCGAAAACTTTAAGACAGCTATTTTGGGTTGGGGAATGTGTATGGAAATAAAGTTTTATATATTCGAAATACGTGAAGCAGAAGGCATATTTAGGGCCAAATAAATTGTTGTTCGACGAAGAAAAAAGTGTATAAAAGCTGATGTAATTTCGACCGTTTAAAAAGTTCGCTATATTTTAATTCACTTAGAAAACGTAGTTGTAGTAATGTTTTGTTTGCCAGCTGCGAAAATATGAACAAAATGCCCACGATTCTTTCATTCAAACGTATGTTAAATTAAGGCCAATGAAGTTAAGTGATGCCTCTTTTGGGTGTGTGCATTTGTTATCACAAAATAATCTGTTAACTGACGGAAATTTATTTTATATTTATCACCCTATAATCTGTTACAATAGATATTGCCAAATAAGACAAACATTGATTTGAAAGGATTAAGACTGTGTCGTCAGCGTATCTCAGGTTACTCGTAGATGTTTTGTTTAGATATGTTTTGCCTAGATGTCTTAATCAGGTTTAGATGATTATTTTCTCTTTTGAATTATCCCGTGGTTTGAGCATTGATGGAAATATCTGCTAGTCTTGGTAGCGATACGGCCCCTCTCCGCAATAACATAACATCTGAGGTAAAAATGTCTTCGTCCATAGGAACTGAAAGAAATGGACGTTTCCTGTTTATCTCGCCAGAAACTCTTCTAGATTTTCGACTTTATTTTTCCAGAATACCAAATAGTCATCAACATACCTTCTTTGCTTGTTTAATACTCCATCACAGATGGTGCTATTGTGATTTAGTGAATATTGGAAAATATATCTGCTATATGCTGACACAGGAATCCACTAAATAGGCAAAATTATTTCAGCCCAATGCAGGCTTTCCAGTAAAATGCCTTTAGGCACACAAGCACTTGTGCTCGCGAAACGAGGAATTACTTTCTACGACGCCCTAAAAGCCCCCCATGCTCACAAGCTTGAATCGAAATTTGCGAAAGCCTAAATAATTGTATGTAATAGTTTTATCTGGCTAACAGTTTGAAGTATCAAAATTCTACAGCTGGCCCTAAC